TTTCTTTTAAAAATTAAGCTGGATAAAAAAATATATATACTGTAATTCTATTTATATAAAACCCTAGAAAATGCAAACTTACTTATAGTATCAGAAAACAGATCAATGGTTGCTTGGGTTGGGGGATGGTGAAGAGAAGCAGGAAGGAGAGATTACAAAAGGGACACAAGAATTGGAGGTGCTGGACATGTTCATTCTCTTGATTGCAGTGATGGTGTTGCAGGTATATACATATATCAAAACTTATTAAGGTCATGAATTTTAAATATTTGCAGTTAATTTTATGTCATCTATACTTCAATTAAACTGTTTATAAAACATTATAGAAAAATAGGGGGAAATGTCATTGCTTTGTCATCTTCCTGTCTAGCAAGAAGTTTAGTTTAATTTTACCATATTTTCCCTGTAATGTGTCTTTTTCTCTACCTCCAGGTTTCTCTGTCTTTAGTTTTCAGCAAACTAATATATACATAATATAATATACATATGTGGTATGTATGTTTATACATATATATATAACACATACGTGTATATAATATTTGATATTTATCTTTGTTGTTTTCTAAGTTTCTTGGATCTGTGGTTTGATATTTATTACTAGTTTTGGAAATACACAACTTTTTATTTTTTCCAAAAATTTTCCCCTATTCTCTTTCTATTCCTTCTGGAATTCCATTAGGCATATGTTAGACTATTTAAGATTGTGCCATAGCTCTTGGATGCCATATTCTGTGGTTCAATCTGGGTAATTTCTACTGATTTGCCTTCAAGTTCACTTCTTTTTTTCCTAGGCTCTGATATACTACTGATACATCTACTGATGAGTATGTTGAAGACATCCTTTATTTATGTTACTGTGGGTTTTTTTGTTTTTTGAAATCCTATCTAATTCTTTCTCTTAGTTTTCATCTCTTTGCTGAAATTTTCCACTGATCTTATATGTTTTCACCTTTTCTGTTAGAGTTACTAGCATAATAATCATAGTTTTTTTTTATATCTCTGACAGGTAACTCTTAACATCCCCATCATATCTGAGCCTGGTTCAGTTTATAGCTTAGTTTCTGAGCAATACGTTGTTTATTTCTTGCCTCTTTTTTTTCTGCCCCATAATTTTGTGTTGAAAGCTACACATCTTGTGTTTGTCAGTGGAAACTGAGGTAAATAGATTTTATGCCTGTAAGTTGGCATGCCTTCCCTTCTGCTGGGCATTTGGTATGGGACTTTGAGTTAATTTAGTGAGGCATACGGTTGGATTTGCAGTTTATTCATGCTATGCTCATTCTTATTGCACAATGTGCTGCATATTTTTCTACCAATATTTTTCGCTTAGAGTCAGGGCTGAGCACTTACTGGACATATTCCTCTTTGTCTGTTCTACCCTCAGCTTTAGGACTTCAATTTTCACTATACCACAGACAGGGTCTCTCTCCATGTTCTGTAGCTGTCCTACCAGTATTCCACGGTTATGTGTTACCTGATGCTTGTTAGCTTCGTGGTGGGAGACAGAGGGGACATTTTCTGTTGTTCTGATTAAACTTTAGTCTCAGGTATGCCTTGTGTCCATGGGTCTTGGAGGTGTGACATTCCTAGAGCTCTTGCCTTTTGTAGCTACCATTGTAGTTCTGTGTTTATGACATACTCCTGCCTCTCCCCTCAGGAGAGAGGGATTTTTCCTGTTTCCATCCCCAAGCTGCTAAGAGTTTGTACCAGTACCTAAAGGTGCCAATGTCTGTTGCCTTCCCCAACCTGCAGATTAAAGCTTTTGCTCCATAGGGGAGATAAAAGGAAGGTCCAGGCTGGTTTTCTGCCTCCCTCTCCATAGCCGCTGTTCTCCTCCAGGTCTGCACCATGAGGTATGCTTTTTTTTAGGGGTCTCACCTGTCTTTTCTTGTGGGCCCAGTAGAGTCTGTGGAGAAAAACCTGCAAGATGTGGACTTCCCCTCTGTATGTGGCTCCCAGAGGTTTCACCTTTTCTTGCAAGCCCACACCCAACATTCCCCAATTCATTAACTCTTCATATTGAATTCTTATTGATGTGTAGTTATGTTTGCCACAAGTAGCTCCCATCTTCCCTTGTACCCCTGTCTTTCCTTACTTAGGTTTTAGACTACTTGGTTGTCTTGTGACCTCAGTTCTCTAAAGAATTCAAGAAAATCTTGACCTTGCATTTTTGCTTTTTGTTGTATTGTAAGGGCTGCAACAATGCTCTTTGCAGTTCTCTACATGCTGAGCAGAAACCAGAAGTCTTAATTATTTTTCTTTTTTTCTTGGTCTTCTTATTGATTTGCAATAAATCTTTATATATTCTAGATACATATTCTTTATCAAATATTTATATTGAGAATATTTACTCCCAGATTGTGGCTTGTGTTTTATACTTCCTTAATCGTGCCTCTTGCTGTATACAAGTCTTAATGTGATAAATTCCAGTTTTTATTTTTTTGTTTTATGTTTAGAGCTTGCTATGTCTTAAGATATTTTTATCTACTGTGAATTCCTGAAGACATTCTTCAATGTTGTCTTTTAGAAGTGCTACTATAGTTTTAGCTAATATGTATAGGATTATGATCCATCTTAAATTAATTTTTGTTTGTGGTTCAAGGAAAAGATTGAGGTTCATTTTTTCCTATGTATTTATTCAGTTGTTCCAGTACCATTTATTAAAGTCTTTCCTTTGCCTATTAAATTTCATTGACACCTTTTTAACCACATTCATATTGTTCTATTTCTGAACTCCCTATTCTGTTCCACTGACATTTTCTTTCTGTCCTAATACCAGTATCACACTGCCTTCATTTCTGTAAGTTTTCCTTCCTGTAGCTCTACTGTAGGCTTGAAATCAGATGGAGTGACCCCCTACAACTTTATTCTTTTTCAGCCTTGTTTTTGCATTTCAGATATTTAGTATTCCTTCACATTTTAGAATAAACTTTTCAGTTTCTACAAAGATTACTAGAGTTAGCATATATATCAATTAGGGGGAAAATGACATGTTAATAACACTGACTCTTCCAATCAATGAACATGGTATATATTTCCATTTATTTGGAGCTTAGTCAATTTCTCTTACCAGTATTTGGTAGTTTTTGCTGTAGAAAGTTTGAACATATTCCATTGAATTGATTCCAAAGTACTTTATACTTTTGTATTTTATTGTAAGTAGAATATTTTTATTGCATTTCCAATTGTTTCCTGCTAGTATGTGGAGGTACAATTGATTATTTTATTTTGGCCTTGTGCCCTGTGATCTTCCCAAATTCACTTATTAATTTGAGGAGTCTAAGTCAAATCCTAGGATTATCTATGTAAATATCAAGTCATTTATAAATGGCAACAGTTTAACTTTTTCCTTTTCAATATTGGGCTTCTAGTTTTTCCTATGTTAAAGAATTGCCTGTGCTGCTATTAGAGTTTTTAATGAGCTTTGTTGAAATATAATTTGTACACAATAAAATTAATCAATTTTAAAAGTGTAACTAGTTGACAAATGCATAAAACCATGTAACCACCATCAAAATAATAATATGAAACTTTCAGTCACACCCAAAATCTCCCCAAACCCATTCTCAGTCAATCCTTTATCCTCCCTTGGCTCCTGAGAACCACTGATTTGCATTCTACCAATTTTGCCTTTCCTGAATATTATATAGAGGGCATTATATGAAGTATTTTGTATATTTTACCTCTCTACATATTATAAATCACAAAATTCAATGTTATAGTTTTTAATTTAAATCATAGTTGTATTTTAAAGGAAAGAGGAATAAGAAATATAGTCTTTTCTATTTACACATCTATCCCACTTCTGCTGTCTTCATGCCTTTCTGTATATCTGAATTTTCATCTGAGTGATCATCCATTTGTCCATCTGATCCTAGATTCTAAGATCTAGCTGATATTATTTCTCCCTTTCTTTTTGTTGATATATGTCTTTTTTCCTTTTCTGGTGATTTTAGATGATATTTCACAATGAATAAAAATAAATTACATGGATTCAATTCCAATCATCTGTTTTAAAAATAACTTAATTTTCATTTTCTGTTTTTAAATAAAAAATAAACCTCATTCAGTAAACCTAATACCCTCTTTATCAATTTCAGTTAATAGTACTTTTAGAAAAGTCAGTTATGAAAAGCATAGGTGCCAGATGACTAAAATAATGTTGAATGTAAATATTATTTCTACAATCACCTCTGTACCATGAAATGGTGTTCCTATTGTTCCCTAAAATGGCAGGAGAAAAAAGGTTTACCATCTTTTTCAGTGTAATATGCTTGCTTTGGACTTATGTTGTAAAAGAATTGTTCACAACAGACAAGTATCTACATGCAGTACTGCCACTCTAGGACTTGCCTCAAACAGGTGTGAATAAAAAATGGCCTAATAACTACTTCATGCTCATCCCTACATAGTGGGAACCAGAACTTACTTCGGAGAGTTAGCTTGCCGTGCTTAAGAACTTGATTTTCTAACATGAAAACGAGCGAATTTGTTCTCTGAAAAATAGCAAGTCATGTGAGCATTTTCTATCTTTCAACAAGTAATTCAGTATTTTTAACCAAATTTGTATGAATATATATATATATTTGCTCTTTTTAAGGCCATTTATAAATTGAGCATGTGCTAATCTTCATGATATTACCTGTGAAAAATAATTTTTGTATTTATTTTTTCATTTCCAAACAAGTAAGGATCACATTCCTATCACTAATTGATTAGATTTTGGGTTTTTTTTTTCATAGTTCACCAATATTGCATAAAAGCTCTCAAGACTAGGAAATAAATCAATAAATTAGAGGAGAACATTGACCATATTTACTGGTGTTATCAGGAATGAGACACACTGAGAAGAGTTTTAGTGCATGTTGGAGATACTCAGGGGAATAAAAAGATTAAAAGTAATATCTGTGAAATAAGATTAAATAGAGGACTTAGAATTATTTAGCCAGAAATGTAATGACCATAATGTAATAAATGTCTTTATATTTAAAGATTATTACAGAATATAGTGACTAATGCTTGTTCTTCATCTCTGCTGAAATTTGAAAAGAAAAAAGTTTGAGGGTAGAAGTATAGACAGACGATGTACACTTAAGCAGTGCTTAAAAGAATAGCCTGAAGGTTGGTGACAGACATCAGAATGCTTGTGATGAGGCACATTTCTTGGGAGGAGGAAAGAGCTTTAAATGTAGCAATTTTCTCTGACATGAGTGGTGACAGGTCCTGGTTTAAGGCTTCCCCAAGGGCCCTCCCAGACCTGCAATTCTCTAGGTCACTTCTGTGGGTGACTTCTGTTGCTACCCTTCAGAGCTGGGAGCGAACTAGGCACAGCAAACACCTGCCCTTCCCGGAGCTCCAACAGTGTCAAAGCAGACAATGCCAGCAGCACAGGACAGCACCTATTCCACCTGAAGCCTTCACTCAAAGGTGAGTGAGGTCGGCGTCCACCCTGGCGCTTCCCTTCCCTGCGGCGTTCACTGAGTCCCAGCACAGGAGCCTTGGGGGATTGGCGACCACAGGACACCCTCTCCTGCCGCCAATATAAGCTTTGACAGAGGAACGAACAACGGGTGGCTGATTCCAAGGCGCCTAAGGAGGGATGAGTTGCGCCAACAGCCAGGTTCCTCTTCACCAGCCTGCTTGGTCCCCTGGCCCGTGTGCTCCCAGAGCGCGCCGGGCGCCCGCCACTGCCGGAGAAGGGCGTCCCACCGCGCGCCGTCCCTTCCAGGCTCCGGCTCCCGCGGGAAGGCGCGTGGGACGATGCTCTGGTCCCCGTGCCTTCCCCGAGCTCCTGCCTCCGGAGCCGCCCTAGCCGGCTCCGCCGCAGCCACCGCCTGGGAGGGAGACCGGGAGAAAGGGAGGGGGCGCTGGGAAGGCTCGGCGGGGGGAGGAGGGGAGGTGGGGAGGGAAGGAGCGCAGGGGGAGGGAGTCTCTTTCCTTCGCAGCTCCTCCGCCTCTCCTCACCCCGGCGGCTGCGACTCAGGGGCTCCCCCCACAGCCTCCCGGCCCCGCGGCCCCTGCTCCGCGCCCCTCCGCGGGCGAGCGCGCAGGGAGGGCGCCGCAGCCGGAGGGCGGCGGCGGGCGCGGCGGCGGCGGCGG